TAGTTTAATCTGGATCTGGTTTCCTGTAGTTTAATCTGGTTTCCTGTAGTTTAATCTGGTTTCCTGTAGTTTAATCTGGTTTCCTGTAGTTTAATCTGACTTGCAGTAGCATCAGCTGGTTTTCAGTAATTTATTCATGTTTACTTCATATAATTCAGGTTTATGACTGTGAAATCAGGCTAACTGTAGTTTAATCTGGTTTCCTGTAGTTTAATCTGACTTGCAGTAGCATCAGCTGGTTTTCAGTAATTTATTCATGTTTACTTCATATAATTCGGGTTTATGACTGTGAAATCGGGCTAACTGTAGTTTAATCTGGTTAAACTCCTCACACTCTCTGAAACAACTCGTTCAGCTGCTGATTTAAACTCTCAACTTCACTTCTGTGGAAACTTCTCTAACTTCATCGTTAGCATGTTAGCATTAGCCTGTCTTACCTCGTACAACTCCTCCGTAGCCATGGAAACAGAGCGCGAGCACACGAAGCTTCCAGAAGCTTCTTTAGCTGAGCAGCTGCATGACGAGAAGTTCTGCTGTGGTTCTACCCGTCCTGCAGATGGTGGCCCGGTCTGATAACTGACAGGACGTTCGGTTTCTTTAGCTGTTAGCTGTTAGCATTGTTTTCCCGGAAACACCCACTCCGACTACCGACCTTCAAAATAAAAGTTTTCCCCCCCCCCCTTTTTTTTTTGTTATTAGATGTATAAAACAATAAAATAATACAGAATACATTAAAAATAAAGTATACAAACAATTAAAAAATATTAAAACATCATTAGTCAGGAGGTCAGTCTGAGGAAATAAAGTATTTTATTAATCTGAAAGTCTACAGATGTGCTGCAGCTGAACTTCAGTGCATAAACTTCACATCCTAAGATCTTTTTTTCTACATGAAGAAACAGCCATTTCCTCAAATCATCTTTATTTCCACAGAATGAGCTGCACACATTTCACTATTTAAAACCCACCCAGTTAACCAGCTGTGATTGGTTCTCTGTCCCGACCAATCAGAGAAGAGCAGCTGTGATTGAATTCAGTTTCAATTCAGTTTATTTATACAGCTCCAAGTCCCAACACACGTTGTCTCAGGACACTGTAGATAAAAAGAACAATGTAAAGAAGAAAGCAGCAGATTGTGTTGAATCACTTCATCACAGTCTCCCATCCTGAGCAAGTTAAGAGTCATCCATGTTTTTATGTCTGGAAGACATGCTTGTAGTTTAAGGAACTGGTTGGATTCATCAGGTTTCATGGATAAATATAACTGAGTATCATCAGCATAACAATGGAAATTTATCTCATGCTGATTAATAATTTTACCTAATGGAAGCATATATAAAGTAAAGAGGATTGGTCCTCTCCTTGGGCTGCTACCTTATCGTGGTGGAGGGGTTTGAGTGTCCCAATGATCCTAGGAGCTATGCTGTCT